TGCAGCTACCTTAAGCTCCTCCTCCTCCTCCCCCCATTAAGGTTAGCTCTGTCTTTATTCTACATTTCTGTTTTTTTATATCCATACAGACGGCCACCAGGGGGTGCCAGAGCTCCCCTTGCATGATTCTGAACTTCATGCAGCCACATGATGAGGCTCGTCTTTGAGTGAGGAGGGATGGGGAAAAAAATTCTTGGAAAGGCAGGAGGACGCTACACACACACACACACACATTTAAACACATACATGTGATGCCTGTGTGGTTGTCAAAGCGACTAAAAGGATTTTTCAGGCAGCAGAAGAGAGGTGTGTGTGTGTGTGTGTGTGTGTGTGTGTGTGTGTGTGTGTGTGTGTGTGTGTGTGTGTGTGTGTGTGTGTGTGTGTGTGCTGTGTCTCCACTTTGATAAATATAAATAATGAGCCAACGCTTATTCTGGATCTTCACTGATGAGTTTGTTGCATCTCTGTCTCCCACTCTGTGTATCGTTTTTAATTTCCTCTTTCTCATGGACTCAGAACGACCTTCTTTCCACATTTTCAAATCAGTCGTTTCGTTTGTGTCCAAAGCTCCAAAAATAAAACGTAATTGACTTGTACAGTGGGATATTTGATGTATAAAATGAGCTAACAATATGAATACAATTACTAAACTCTGTGTGTGTGTGTGTGTGTGTGTGTGTGTGTGTGTGTGAGTGTGAGTGTGCGTGTGCGTGTGCGTGTGCGTGCGAGTGTGCGTGCGTGTGTGTGTGTGTGTGAGTGTGCGTGTGCGTGTGTGCGTGTGCGTGTGCGTGTGTGTGTGTGTGTGTGTGTGTGTAGTTGTGATGGAGGTCGGCCATCTGGTTTCCATTGAGGCTCAAGGGAGAACATTGTACTGCCCTCTCACCTAATTCTCCCCTGAGTCTGAAGACAACACACACACACACACACACACACACACACACACACACACACACACACACACACACACACAAACAGGTGGACACCCTTAGCAGGAATTCTTCACATTCATCTGCGGCCTGCTTCATGTGTTTGCCCACTCTGACTTTGGCTTTTTCTTTGTGGTTTTCAGTGGATTATCAGTCTCTGCAGTTCCTGGAGTGTCCACTAGAGGCTGGCTGCAGAAGCACAGGAAGTCACATACACACCCATTCTAAAAAGCCTGTTTTTACAGCAGAGATGAACATGTTTACAGGGATGGGACAAAATGTCAGTGTGTTTTCAAAACTTTTCAGTTGTCATGTAGATGAACAAAAAGCAACAACGGGTTACGTTGCGATGGAAACAGTGTTTTTATCTTTTTGTATCATCTCTTTTTATTAAAAACCATGTGTCTCAGAACTTACACTTTTAAGATTTTTCAGTATAGTCTGAGGTTTTTTACTCTGCTATTATTTTAGAAATTTGTTCTCAGGGCCTCCTCGCCCAGTCTGACCGTCAACACATTCAGGAGGAGGGTTAGAGGGCCTGGCACGGCCCGGCATGGGGGGTTGGGGGGGAATAGCACACTTTGGCTCGGGGTATCCACACCAGCTTGGGCAGATGGTGTGCGGCGTGACGAATGGGGAGCTGGTGACGCAAACATCATCGCAACAGCTGAAACAACCCACCAGATACAGGTGGTTAGAGGAGCCACTCCCACACACACATATGCACACAAACACACACACACACACACACACACACACACACACACAGACACCAGGCTGGTGTCTGTTACATAACTGTGTGAGGGGCTTCACTGTCAAATCTGTCCGGGGGATCTATGAAACATGCACACATGAGGAAGAACAGATTTTCAGACACACATATAACTGCACAAGAAATAATGATGCACACACACACACACACACAGTCTCTGTCAGAAGGCTCCGAGTGCCTCCCAATGGTCTGCTGCTGCACTCTTTGTGTCAAACATTTACATTCAGTATTTCACACAAATATACAGAGGAGCACAGTGGCGATGAAAGGGTTAACGATGAAAGGGTTAATGATGAAAGGGTTAACGATGATGATGAACGGGTTAACGATGAAAGGGTTAACGATGAAAGGGTTAACAATGATGATGAAAGGGTTAGCGATGAAAGGGTTAACGATGATGAAGAGGTTCGTCTGATACTCTGAAACAAAGCTGCATTAACTTCAGTTTAACTTACTCTTCATTAAACATTCAGGGTGCATATAAATGTGGACGTAGAGTTTGGGATGTCATCCTCAGTCGAAGGTTTTCAGAGTCAAGGAATGTGCAGGCAGGGGGCGGAGCTGAGATAATACATCAATCAAGATCAAATATCCGCTTGTCAAAGGACGAGGCTCCACATCCATCCCGTCTTATAATCAACAGAGAACATGAACAATACAAAAACATCGTCAGGCTCTTTTACAGTTATATGTTTTATTCATCATCCATCCAGTAGTAAATCCATCCATCCATCAGCCATCCATCCATCCAATCAGCCATCCATCCATCCAATCAGCCATCCATCCATTCAACCATCCATCCATCAATCAGCCATCCATCAGCCATCCATCAGCCATCCATCCATTCAACCATCCATCCATCCAATCAGCCATCCATCCATCCATCAGCCATCCATCCATCAGCCATCCATCCATCCAATCAGCCATCCATCCATTCAACCATCCATCCATCCAATCAGCCATCCATCAGCCATCCATCAGCCATCCATCCATTCAACCATCCATCCATCCATCAGCCATCCATCCATCCATCCATCCATCCATCAGCCATCCATCCATTCAACCATCCATCCATCCAATCAGCCATCAATCCATTCAACCATCCATCCATCCAATCAGCCATCAATCCATTCAACCATCCATCCATCCAATCAGCCATCCATCCACTCAACCATCCATCCATCCAATCAGCCATCAATCCATCCATCAGCCATCCATCCATCCATCCATCAGCCATCCATCCATTCAACCATCCATCCAACCATCCATCCATTCAACCATCCATCCAACCATCCATCCATTCAACCATCCATCCATCCAATCAGCCATCCATCCATTCAACCATCCATCCATCCATCAGTTCATCATCCAACCATTCAAACTTCCTCCAGCCAGCCATCCATCCATTAGTTCATCTATCCATCCAGTTGTCCGTCCAACAGTCCGTTCAGCCTTCAATCCAATCATACTTCCTCCATCCATCCAGCCATCCATCCATCTTAGCACACAGACTTTGTGGAAATGGCGGGTAACGATGGCTCCTCCTGGTTCGTTCAAACTTTCAGCTCACACAGCAAGACACGAGAGAATCTGTCGGTGAGTAAGGATAAGCCTTTATTGGTGTTTGGGGGGAAAAAGCCAAACCACATATGCCATCATCCCCGTGGACAGCACACAATACTGGTGAGGAGTTGGGGAAGTGTTGCGCTCATGGGACTTGTAGTTCATAACAGTCAGTCACAACATGGAGAAGTTAGCTGAGAACCCACAAAGTTGAAGGAAATAACAAGGCTGTGTACAATATTGTTTTTTTTTTCATCATCATCATTATTATTGTCATTATTACCCGCAATGCTGTTTGATGGTCCAGCTGGAAACTGTCGCTGCCAACATGTGAAGAGTGCGCCCCAATGGCCCACGAGAAAAAGTTTGTATCACGCTCAACAACACAGTTACATAGAAAAATAGCACTGTCAAAAAGTTTCTGAAACGTCTGTGAGGAAATCCAAAAAACCCCAGATTATCAAAAAAGAAAAACTACTCATGGCTTTCTTCTTCCATCCATCGGTGGAAACGTAAGCAGCTCGGAGACTTTTCTTCTTCCAGGGATTTCAATTCAAAAGTTTGTGTCTGTGTGTGTCAGGTTTCCACAAATTCCCCAAAAATAAAGACAAGAAAAAGGAAAAAAAAAAATATATATATATATAGATATATATATATATATATATATATCTCAATATAGAACTACAGCTCCCACAATACACCTTGGGTTAGCTTACTGTAAGTCATGGTGTCATCTGCAAACAAACGGAATCGGCTGTGCGTTGTTGTTGTTGTTGTTGTTGTTGTTGTTGTTGTTGTTGTTGTTGTTGGGAATTAAAACAATAATTATGTGAAAGTCTCAGATTCCCCTTAAGAAAACAAACTGGCTCATAAAACCAACAAAGAAAAATAATGAACATCAACAGTCATCATCATGTTAACAACTACGATAACACACTTTAGTTTCCATCGCTTCATTAAAGTCACAGCAGCTCTACGTGAACTGTTCACTAAGCCCCTCCCCCAATCATATCAGTCCACGCTTAGCTTATCTTAGCAAATCTGTCCAGGTTTGGATTCCTTAACATGAGCTTCCTTGCATTAGCATACAAACTTGATGAATAAGAACCCTTCTGTAATTGCTTGTTGACGTTCTTAGGTTTCCTTCTTGGATGCTATTTACAGATTTATTAGAATTTAAGCTAACGTTAAAAGCTGGAACTTGCTTTTGTTGAATTTAGTAAAGTTTAAAACTTTCGATTAGCAAAAACTTTGTTATTTCACCGCTGTGTAGAAGGACGATTATGTACTCATGGACGTGTTGTTTCCCCTCATAAATCTAAATTCATATCTCAGTGATTGAGTTTACATGGACTTGAGTATCCCAGTCTGTTCCTGCAGGGGGCGCTGGAGTCCCATCGATGGCGGTCTCCATGCTGGAAATGCTGTCTCAGTCTAACTTTCAGTCAACCTAACGACAGGCTGAGAGCTGGAGCTGAGGCGGGTTTTAAACCTCCTGACAAACCGTTACACCGCGCCCACCTGTCAATCAGGTCAGCTACACGCCTTATTGTGAATAACTCTTATCCTTCATCAAATCAAAACTGATGAGTCATCAAAACATTCACCCCCCGTACAGTGTGTGTCCATCCAGACATGAGCTAATCACACCTATTTGGTTTTTTGAACCAGGCCGTAAACATGTTCATCTCTGCTGTAAAAACAGGCTTTTTAGAATGGGTGTGTATGTGACTTCCTGTGCTTCTGCAGCCAGCCTCTAGTGGACACTCCAGGAACTGCAGGATTTTACACTTCAGCATCGGCTTCATTTTTCAACTCACGAAGTTGCTGCTTGGGATGATCCCGATTTCTTAAATCAAGATTTGATGTTTACTCACACAAACTGTAAAACCAGGAGACTCAAGTCGATGTAAACAGACTCAGTGTCGACTTATTTTTTGGTATAATGCTGGTGATATATTTAGCCAGCTTAGCTAACGTGATGTCAAACCATGAAGCTGCTTCTTTACATTTCTGTTTAAAATCGAGGACAGGGAAGTCTGAACCTATTGTCCCGGCAACGGACCGTGCAAAGTTCTAGAATGCGATTCCTGATGAGCATAGCAACAGTAACCAAGGGGTTGGGGGCGGAGTTTAGTGACTGTTGTTCTGAAGTGAGGTAAAACTTAATCATAACAACATCAGCCATCAGGTTTGAAATGAGTCATAACGGGGAAAAAAATCAAATATATAAATCCCCCAGGAAAAAAACATAGAGCACAAATTCTGTCATCCAATCAGACGTCTTGTGTGTGTTTTTTTTATATATATGTGTATTTAATACCTCAGACAAAAAAAAACACCTGAGAAAAAACGGACAAAATGATTCAAATGGGTTTTTCTGTAATATATTCAATTATGTATATTACAACTATAATCACATAATTCAAGCATATATCATATACATATATATATTTATATCTAGTGAGAGAATAGCTCAATATTCAATAGTACAGTTTTATGGTACAGTAGCAGTAGGGTGCATTTCTCGTTCCTCATTGGGTAAAGTTTGAAGGAGAGGTATAGACACGTGTTTGTGTGTAGATCTAAATATATACGATTTATCCAAGAGAGAGAGAGAGAGAGAGAGAGAGAGAGAAAAGAAAACCAACTGAAGAGTTAAAGACAAAGAAAGGGTTTAGAACGGTGTTTGGAAGTGTTTTCAGATGTGTGTGTGTGTGTGTGTGTGTGTGTGTGTGTGTGTGTGTGTGTGTGTGTGTGTGCATCAGGTGAAGGATCAAACAGATCAGCACCATAGAAGTCCATAACAACATCAACAACGACGATAAGGGTTCAAACCTGTGTGTGTGTGTGTGTGTGTGTGTGTGTGTGTGTGTGTGCATGCTGAAGGTTTCAGTCACTGTTCAAGTCGGGCTCATCCACCCGACACCAGTCAGTATTTCATTTTTGCACATCCTGGACAAAACAAGGAGTAAATAGAGAGAGAAAGACCGCAACCACGTAGTGTTGTTGTTAATAAAGTGTGTGTGTGTGTGTATGTGTGTGTGTGTGTGTGTGTGTGTGTGTTTGTGTGTGTGTGTGTGAGCAAGACACAAAGTAAAATGCAAAAACCTTGCCAGTGAAATCGTCCACCTCGTATGATTTCAAACATCTGCTCACGTGCAGCTGTTCTGATGGCTAATTAACTCCTGTCTACCCCGTCACCGTCCTTAAAATCAAACGCCGCCCGCCCGCACGCCGCCCGCTCGCCGTGAATCAAAAACTAGACACGGAATCAAAGAGAAGAGAACGAATCGAGCGCTCGAGCGAGCACAGGGAAAAAGAAAACAAACACAAACGTTTCTTTAAACTATACACATTTTTTTTTTTGTTTCACCGTTTCCTTCCCGACGCGCCCCGACGCCTCAAAACAATCGTTACTAAGATACCGCCCCCTCGCCACGCACCGTGTGAAATACCTGAATCAGCCGTGATACATTCTCTGAAGACGCCTCGCCTCTACCGATCGGCCAGCTCCGTGAAATTTGAAAATAGATTTTTATTTGTTGTTTTAGCGATAAAACAGCTGGGAGGAGAAAGCGTAAATGTGGCCCCGTTGACTGTCCAGCTTGAAGCCCCGCCCCCTCCCCCGCCCCATATAGAAAATATACAAAAGATTATCTCCAAAATCCTCCTGCGGTCGACTATCTCTGCGAATAGAAAAATATACAATAATGTCAAAATCTCTTTGCCTTAAGGACCGCCCCCTGCACCTCCTCCCGCTGACGCCGCCTCCTCGCCGCAGTAGTCCCGCCTTCCTGCCCAGTTCAAAAATATACACAATTTTTTTGTCCTATATTTAGAAAAAAATTACACATCCGACCTCCCCTGGCTTGTATCCGTGCCTTGAGCTTAAAAAGTGAGATTTCACTGGCATAATGTGAATTCAACACGCTGATTGAACGGGGCCGGAGCGGCGGCCGGGACGCACTACCTGCGAAGAACGCCATGCGACACCTGGCTGTGAGCACAGCACCGAGGGGGTGAGGTGAGCTGCCAAGGGGACGCGGGGTGATACAGTACGTTGTGAGGGTTCAAAGAGACTAAAGAGAGTCACACTGGAAAAAAAGGGGGCGTCGCCGTGCTGTCCTGACGTGCAATCCTGAAGCACAGCGCACACGTTTAAAAACAGCCCGGGTGTCGCACAGCGCTCACTGCAGGTCTACGCCGGCTCCGCCCACTCCACCACTTCAACTAAAGTGCTGCTGTTGTCGGGTTGCCTTGAAACCCTTTTTTCTGAAATCCTCCTCCCCCCCTCCCCCAAACCCCGCCCTCCTTCATCGCCGTCTTCTCCAGTCCCTCGCCGCCTCACAAGTCTCCGTGTCGGCTCTCGTACTTGTTGATGATGTTCCTGCAGCGCCCCAGCTCTTTCCGCATGTCGGCGACCTCCTGGCGAAGCGTGGCGTTCTCTCTCTCCAGGAAGGCGGCGCGCACAGAGATCTGGTTCTCCTTCAGCCGCCGGGCGTCCCGAGAGCGCTTCGCCGCCTCGTTGTTCTTGACGCGCCGGCACCAGTACTTCTCGTCCTTCTCATCATCGGCGGCGGTTCGGTATGTTGGGGGTGTGTGGGGAGGAAGGGCGAGGGGAGGACAAAGAGAAAAAGAGAGAGAGGCGAGCGCGGGATGAGAAAGGTCAGCGATGAGATGAAGAGAGAGTGAGAGGAAGGAAGAAGGCAACAGCTGAATAAAGTCGAAACTTCAGAAAACAAGAAAACACAAAACATTTCACTGATTCTCTTTAACCTTTGACCCTTTAGAACACCTCAGACATCGTCCTGGTCACAAAGTAAGGTGACTTCAAACAATGTTTTTTTTCAAAAAATAAAAATAAACAACTCAAACTGAGGGGCGTCCAAAACGGCTGTGTGGGGGCGTGTCTTAAAAGCGCCTACCTTCTCTGGTCCAAACAAATCCAGAGCATTCAGGAGCAGAATCTAAAGTTAGAAAGAAAAACTGTCTCTTAAGAGGAAGTTTTAGAAACCTGAGGGAAGGTTGTTTTAAACTTAAGAGAAAACAGAAATCTAAATTGAAGAGGAGCTGCAGGTCTCCTCGGGGAGTCTTTTACTGGATCTGCTTACATCCGGCAAAAATCTATTTGCAATTAAACTCTTGAACATTTTAATCCTTTTTGAAACATTTGTTTAAAAGCCTCCTGGGATTCTTTTTTAAAGAGAATTTGTTCTTAATTTAACAATCTCTGAATATCTTCTGTCTTGTGATGGAAGCCAGATTTTCCTGCACTTCACCGGAGAGTTGATTTAAAACAGAGCGAGCTGAGCGTCACCTCTAACTTTAGGCTGAGATAATCGGTGATAATTCCATCGCTGCAACACCTGTTGACCTGATAACTGCTCTCATATCTGGCAAACCGAGGGGCGTCCAAAACGGCCGTGTGGGGGGGTCTTAAAAAACTCAAATTAAAGTGTTTTAAAGTTTTTATAAAATCTATAAGGTCAAAACTTTGTTTTCATTAAAAGATTAAATCAATGAATAAATATTTTCACGTCCAGACAGGAAGTGAGCAGAATGAAAACAGTAGAAGAAGTCTAACAGGGGAGCAAAGGCTTGTGGGAGATGTAGTACCTTCTGCTCGTTGGGCACCAGCATCTTTCGAGCCTTCTTGATCATCGGCTGAGGTTTCAGCTCCTCGTCGGAGAATCGGTGCCGTCGCGGGTCGAACGCCTCCTGGCCCGGCACGCTGGACAGCGCCAGGTCCGCAGGGTCCGGGTCAAAGTTCACCATGACGTCGCTGCTGCCGTTGGCTCCCGCCGGAGGTCCAGGGGGTCCTGGAGGACAGGTGGAGGAGGGCGACGGGTCCTGAGGAACGGCCTGACCACCTGAGAGACAAAGAGGAGGAGTCTGTTAGTCACAAGGAGATTAATGAGGCGATACATCGACCTGCTGCTGCACACGCTCTCTACTCTCTTCTCCTTTTTAAAAGACGCTGGCGCTCAGAAAAAAAACGCCAGGTGAACACGTTCATGTTCATGGGGGGGGGGGGGGGGGGGGGGAGGGGGGGGAGGGTTAAACAGCTGATAAAAAAGAGTAGGAAAAAGAAACGACACAACGTGCAGCTTCCCTGACCGCCCGTAGAGGCAACGAAAGTCGGCTTAATTACTCGTTAAGCCGTCCAATCATCATCTTTCAGTTTGATCTGCAGATTAAAGCCCATCTGCCCGAGCCGAGGGCGCTCACATGTCAGAGGGCGAGGGCGAGGGGCGAGGGGCGAGGGCGAGGGGCGAGCACGCTGCAGAGGATGATGAGACAATCCCCCAACGGAGATCTGCTCCAATCTAACGAGAGCTTCTGACCACATGATGACAGAATCCCTCCAACCGCCGAACATGATGACCACGACCACGACCACGACCACGACCCACGACCACGACCCACGACCACGACCCACGACCCACGACCCACGACCACGACCGACGACCCACGACCCACGACCCACGACCCACGACCCACGACCCACGACCCACGACCACGACCCACGACCACGACCCACGACCCACGACCCACGACCACGACCACGACCCACGACCCACGACCACGACCCACGACCCACGACCCACGACCCACGACCACGACCACGACCCACGACCCACGACCCACGACCCACGACCACGACCACGACCACGACCCACGACCCACGACCCACGACCCACGACCACGACCCACGACCACGACCGACGACCCACGACCCACGACCACGACCGACGACCCACGACCCACGACCCACGACCCACGACCCACGACCCACGACCCACGACCCACGACCACGACCCACGACCCACGACCCACGACCCACGACCACGACCACGACCCACGACCCACGACCACGACCCACGACCCACGACCCACGACCCACGACCCACGACCACGACCCACGACCCACGACCACGACCCACGACCACGACCCACGACCCACGACCCACGACCCACGACCACGACCACGACCACGACCACGACCCACGACCTGAAGTTCTGATTTTTCTCCCGTGGACAAACTTGTGTTTTTAAAATGTCAAACTCTAAATATTGAATAAGTGTTCATGAGTTCTCGGTTCACGTCATCGCCCAGACGGCGTTTCAGCTCTCTGTAAACTCTCCGTTAGTAAATCTCCTTCCAGGGTGAAGACGTTCAGAAACTCTGTTACAGGTGTTTCTGTGTAGACGCCACGCTGGGCGCCGGTTTCTCCTCCGTGTGACGTCATCGTTCGACGCTGTCTCTCTTTAGTTTACATGAGATTAGTGACCAAACTAGCGCTGATGCTAACGATGCTAACTGGACTGTTTACACACACACACACACACACACACACACACACATACACACACACACACACACACACGGGGTGGTGGGACGACTTTGAAAATGAAACGGTCGCTTATGACTTTGAGTTTTCATGTGGACGAAGATGTTTTTGAGAACTTGGCGTTTTTTGAAAGGACCCGCCTACATGTGGCGTCAGTACGGGTTGACCTCATTGACAGGCCGCCGTCTGCGAGGTCACGTGTCTCCGTCATGCTCCGGCCTCCGATCAGAGAGCCAACAATGAGGCTCTGTGATGTCGACCATAAAGAGGATTATCTGTCAGTTCAGATGCTGACAGAGGAGGAAGAGGAGGAGGAATTTAAATTCATCTTTTTTAAAACGTGTCGTTGATATTTTTATTAAAACGCTTCAAAAACAAATCTGCTTCCTGCTGTTTTGAAACTGCTGCTGCAGTGACACCACTCCACCACCAGGTGGCAGCGTTGAGCTGCAGACTCTCTGAGGGCAGCAGGTTCACATCCTGCAGGATTAACAACAAGAGGCAGAGCGCTGGTTTTCTGTTTAACCCTTTGCTGTATGGAATAAAATCATAAAGATGATGAAGACGTTTTGATCTGTAATGAGGGACTTCAGGAGAATATCATTTATTATTATCATATTTATTTATTTATTCATATTTATTTAAAGACGGATTTATGCACGGGCGACTTCCTGTGCAGAAACATCATAATAATAAAGAGTGAGGAGTGAGGGGATTTTAAAATGAGGTGCTTCAGTGTGCAAATCAGTTCAAGTTATTCTGGGATGCTGTTCGTAAATTGAGTGACAGCGAGAAAAAAAAAACGACCTCTTGATGTGTTTTAACCTGAAACGTTTTCACGTTTCACAAATCTGGAATATTATAAGTGTGAGCTCGAGCAGTCGTCCAGCTGAAGTCTGAGCTGCTCAGTGTTTGTGAGACTCTTTTTTCTTTTTTTTATTCCTTGTAGCTCCAGGCGCCGAGCCACGGATTAAAAA